TGCAGTGGAGGATGGCCCAAGTGCTTGGGCCCTGCACCCCATGGGAGACCAGGAGAAGCACCTGGCTCCTGCCATCGGATCAGTGCGGTGCGCAGGCCGCAGCGTGCTGGCCGCGGCAGCCATTGGAGGGTGAACCAACGGCAAAAGGAAGACCTGTCTCTCTCTCACTGTACACTCTGCCTGTCCAAAAAAAAAAAAAAAAGTTAGATATTTTACAAGAAAACATTTTTAAGTCTATGTACGTAGCCCAACTTTCAAAACCTAAGTTTTGCATATGGAAAGTGCTACGCTTTGCTAGTCATAGTTATATACTTAGATTTTTTTGTTTGTTTTTTAAAGATTTATTTATTTATTTGAAAGAGTCACTAAGAGAGGGAGAGACGGAGGAGAGAGAGAGATCTTCTCTCTGCAGTTCACTCCCTGAATGGCCACAACAGCCGAGGCTGGTCCAGGCTGAAGCCAGGAGTCCGAAACTGCATCCAGGTCTCCCACATGTTTGCAAGGGCCAAGGATATGGACCATCTGCTGCTGCTTTCCCAGGCAGGGAAATGATCATTGGCAGGGAGCTGGATTGGAAGTGGAGCAGCTGGACTTCAAACTGGTGCCCATGTGGGGTGCCAGCATTGCAGATGCGGCAACACGGCATAACCTGTTGCACTGCACCACACTGCAAGCCCCCTTAGTCAATATCTGAATACACGAACTGGGGGGGTGGGGTGGGGTGTTTTCTTCAAAAGTTTATGGAAAGTGCTTATTCTAAAAAAAAAACATGCATCAGTTTCAAGATTTTTTGTATCAAAATTTTATCTTTTTTTGATCATATTAGTGGGACAGAGAGAGAGAGAAGGTCTTCCTTTGCCATTGGTTTACCCTCCAATGGCCGCCGCGACCTGCGCGCTGCGGCTGGCGCACCGCGCTGATCCGATAGCAGGAGCCAGGTACTTCTCCTGGTCTTCCATGGGGTGCAGGGCCCAAGCACTTGGGCCATCCTCCACTGCACTCCCTGGCCACAGCAGAGAGCTGGCCTGGAAGAGGGGCAACCGGGACAGAATCTGGTGCCCCGACTGGGACTAGAACCCGGTGTGTCGGCGCCGCAAGGTGGAGGATTAGCCTAGTGAGCCGCGGCGCCGGCCAAAATTTTATCTTTTAATTCAGTTTTCCAAAGTTTTTAAAGTACCCTGTGTCTGTAAATAAAGGCTTTTTCCATTTATAATAACAAGAAAAGCATTGAGGAAGGGATGATGATCAGATATTTTAAGCTATGAACATCGTAAATGTTCAAGGTCTTATGTAGATAACAAACTAGGTTTCATGACCTGAGTGAGAACTCACCCGGCATTTGTAGGTGTTTACAGTTGACGCATGGAGACCAGCACTGGGAATCTGAAGGAGCTAGTACGAAAAAAAACAAAACCAAAAACACAACACACGGCAGCAGACAAATCTTTGGAAGGAACAAAATTTCCTAGACCCATAGGCCACCCTTTCTGTAGTGAAGGAAGTAATCCATAGACTGAGTGTGTCTGGAGATACCCATTTAGGTAGGAATGATTTCTCAACTAGCTGATTTTTGAAGTCACACACCTTAACACTACCAATGGCAAATGCTTGACATTCAGGACTCTCTAACCTCACTCTTAAAGCAGTGATCCTAATCAGTGATCCTGTGACTGCTGATAATATGGAGAGATGACGGCACTGGGAAGGGAGAGGGTACTCATCAGATGACTTCAAGATTTCAGAAAAGCCTGATAAGTGCTTCCCCCATAAGGTTAGACAGATTATCAGGAGTATATATTTTATTTAGGATCAAGGCAAGTTAGTGTGGTAATATTGTCTTAGCAGAGTCCCTTATATACATGTAGTCACGCCAGCCCTGGTAGGTGAGCGAATCAGGAAGATCTCAGTCGTACTCTTGTTCGACTATTTTTTTGTGTGTGATATCTTTCTTCAAATTATTTTGCAGATAAATCCTATGGGTCCAAGTTGGTCGTCTTACATTTTTTTTAAACGATTTTTATTTGAGAAGTAGAGTTACAAAGAGACAGAGAGAAAGGGCTTCTTTCTATTGGTTCACTCCTGGCTGCTCTACATCTGATCCAGCTCCCTGCTAATGTGCCTGGGAAGGCAGCAGAAGATGGCCCAAATGCTTGGGTCCCTGTACCCAGGTGGTAGACCTGTAGAAGTTCCTGCCTCCTGGCTTTAGTCTGGTCCATTCCTAGCTGTTGCGACCATTTGGGGAGTCAACCAACAGATACAAGATCTCCCTCTTTGTCTCGCCCTCCCTCTCTCTCTCTCTGCCTCTCAAACAAATAATAAATCTTCAAAAATTATTTATTTGAAAGGCAAAGAGAAAGAGAAAAGAGATCTTCCAGCTGGTTTATTCCCTGAATGTCCATAATGGCTGGGGCTGGGCCAGGCTGAAGCCAGGCTGGAGCCAGGAATTCATTTCAGATCACCTGTGTTGGGTAGCAGGAACCCAGTTGCTTGAACTATCGCCACTTCCTCCCAAGGTCTTCATTAGCAGGATGGTAGTCAGAAGCCAGAGCTGGCTGGAACCACAGGGATAGAGTGTGGGCATCTTCACCACTAGACTCAGTACCTGCTCCTGGTTTTCTTACTACGTGGTTTGTAAAAGTTTATGAATTTGTTGAGAAAAAATGGAAAATGAGTAGTGTGTATGATTTTTTTTTTTTTTACAGCCAGAGTGGATAGAGAGAGAGAAAGGGAGAAAGAGAAAGGTCTTCCTTTTGCCATTGGTTCACCCTCCAATGGCCACCACAGCTGGTGCCGCTGGGGCCGGTGCACCACACTGATCCGAAGGCAGGAGCCAGGTGCTTCTCCTGGTCTCCCATGGGGTGCAGGGCCCAAGCACTTGGGCCATCCTCCACTGCCTTCCCGGGCCACAGCAGAGAGCTGGCCTGGAAGAGGGGCAACCAGGAAAGAATCCGGCGCCCCGACCGGGACTAGAACCTGGTGTGCTGGTGCTGCTAGGTGGAGGATTAGCCTAGTGAGCCGCGGCGCCTGCCATGATTGTTTTCTGAAGTTATATATTTTGAGATAACTCAAGGTATATTTGTTCCTGTTGTATGTGAAAGTAGAACTCATTTTCCTAACAAGTATTACCACAAGTTAGGTTTCATTATAAATGTTAAGAATGGAAATATCTGACTCTTTCCTGGGCCTCTCTGACTTTCCTGGATAGTATTTACTTGCCACTGCTCAGAAATCTTACTCCCTTCCTATGGCATCTATCGCAGTGTGTTGTAGTTCCTTGGCCATGTTTTGTGTTCTTGAGCTCTAGGTCAGGACAAACTTAGCACAGTGCCTTTCCTTTAAAAAATAAGCAAACAAAGATTTACTTACTTTGTTTGAAAAGCAGAGTTACAGAGAGGCAGAAACAGAGAGAGAGAGAGAGAGAGAGAGAGAGATCTTCCATCCGCTGGTTTACTCCCCAGATGGCTGCAATAGCCAGAGCTGAGCCGATCTGGAGCCAGGAGCAGGAGCTTCTTCCAGGTCTTCCACTAGGTTGCAGGGGCCCAAGACTTGGGCCATCTTTTACTGTTTTCCCAGGCCATAGCAGAGAACTGGATTGGAAGTGGGGCATTTGGGACTCGAACTGATGCTTATTCGGGATGCTGGCACTGCAGGTGGCGGCTTTACCTGCTATGCCACAGCGCCAGCCATAAGATTGATTTTTCCATCCTCTGGTTCACTCCCCAAATAGCTACAATGACTGGGGCTGGGCCAGGCTGAAGCCAGGAGCTTGGAACTCCCATCTGTGTCACCCACATGGGTGGAAGGCATTTTGGCCCTCTTTGCTTTCCCAGGCATGCTAGCAGGAAGGTCAGAAGTGGAGCAGCCACAACTTGAACCAGTGCTTGTAAGTGATGCCATAGTGCAGGCAGTGGCTTAACCTGCTGTGCCACAGTGCTGTCCCCAGCGACAACATTGTGCAAGCTTAGCACGGTGCTTTGCATCTGCATAATATTCAATGAATGTGTGTTCAATAGATGGTGTGTACAAACTTCAGTAATGCGTAAGGCTTTAACAACCGAAGTTATGTTGATTATTCCCAAACAATAAAATAATTTGGACAGCTGTGAAATTTTTAATCATGGAATTTGATGTGTACTGTAACAGAATAAATTTTTTTATAGATTATTTAAGGCAGAGTTAGAGGGCAAGATAGAGATGGAGAGAGAGATCTTCCGTCCCATTGGTTCACTCCTTAAATGGCCACAACAGCCAGATGTGGGTTGATCTGAAGCCAGGAGCTGCTTCTGGGTCTCCCATGTAGCTCTTTGGCCATCTTCCATTGCTTCTCCAGGCCCATTAGCAGGGAGCTGGATCAGAAGTGGAGCCGTTGGGACTGTAACTGGCACCCATATGGGATGCTAGCAGTACAAATGGTGGCTTTACTTGCTACACTACAGCGCCAGACCCATAACATAAATTTTTTTTTTAAAGAGATTTATTTATTTATTGGAAAAGCAGAGTTACAGAGAGGCAGAGGCAGAGGCAGAGAGAGAAAGGTCACTCCCCAGATGGCTGTAACAGCCAGAGCCGGGCAGATCTGGAGCCAGGAGCCAAGAGCTCCTTCCATGTCTCCCACGCAGATACAGGGGCCCAAAGACTTGGGCCATCTTCTGGTGCTTTCCCTAGCCATAGCAGAGAGCTGGATTGGAAGTGGAGCAGCCAGGTCTGGAACCGGCACCCATATGGGATGCTGGTACTGTAGGTGGTGGCATTCACTGATACTGTCTTGGGTTAAGTTCTCTCTCATAGCCCTTACTGTGTTTTGTGGTATTGATTGTGTATTAATACTGAGAGGTCATAGCAGATTATTCTTAAGTTTCCTGACCTGAAGCCCGACATTGAAGCCCTTTTATGTAACACATCATGAATCTAGTTCGTAGACAGCATGCTACTCTTGTTGATTATATTGCCATTCCCATATCCAGAAAAATCCAATGCTTTGTGTTGGTTCTGTGTTGCAGAAAGCATAACCCCTACTGTAGAGCTAAATGCCCTGTGCATGAAACTTGGAATAAAGCCAATGTATAAGCCTGTTGACCCTTACTCTCGGATGCAGTCCACCTACAACTACAACATGAGAGGAGGTGCTTATCCCCCAAGGTATGTATATATTTGAGATCTTTTGAAAAATACAGAAGAAAATCTTGCAGTCCTTTACATAGGATACCATCTCTAGATTGTGGAGTGAGTAATGATTTGGTCTTTTGGCTCCCCAAGTGTTGAAGTCAGTTTTAATTGTGCTTGTGCCTTTGGAACTGTGTCTTGGTGCTTTTTTTAATATTATTTTTGGAATGGACCTGTACGTATTCCTCACTTGCAGTGTGGCTTGTGTTCCCCAAGCCATGTAACTGCTTTGAGCAACTGAATCATATTTGAAGATGATCCTGTAATACCATTATTCTCAGCATTTGTAGGTTTTCAGATGATTGGTTATTGGTTACATTTTTTTAGAAAAGATCTATTTGAGAGACAGAATTACAGATAGAGGGAGTGACAGAGAGAGGCAGGTCTTTCATCTGCTGGTTCACTCCCCAAATGGCCACAAGGGCCAGAGCTGGGCCTATCTAAAGCCAGGAGCGAGGAACTTCTTCTGGGTCTCCTACATGGTTCCAGGGGTCTGAGCATTTGGGCCATCTTCCACTGCTTTCCCAGGCGTTAGCTGGGAGCTAGATCCAAGTGGAGCAGTCAGGACTCGAACTGGCACCACAGGTGGATGCTTAACCTACTATGCCACAGTGCCAGTTTCTATTGGGTACATTTTTTAAAGAAAGATTTAGTTTTTTATTTGAAAAGCAGAATTACAGAGGGAGAGGGAAAGAGATCTTCTAACTCTTGGTTCACTCCTCAAATGGCTGTGATGGCTGAGAATGGGCCAGGCCAAAGCTAGGAGACAGGAGTTTCTTCCAGGTCTCCCACATGGGTGCAGGGGCCCAAGGAATTCAGCCGTCTTCCACTGCTTTCCCAGGCGCATTTACAGGGAGTTGGATCAGAAATGGAGCAGTTGGGACTCAAACTGTTGCCCATATGGGATGCCAGTGTTGTAGGTGGCAGCTTAAACTGTTAATAAGCCCACTTTTTTGGCTTTTGAACTGTGTTTTATAGATAACCTTGGTGTAATAAAATATTAATTGAATCCTGTAATGTCATGCATTGGAAACCTGCTTGGTGATAATAAGACGTAGTGGAAAGATTGATGATCAGAATGGAAATGTTTATCTTGCTACCCTTCTTGAAGTAAGGGAGGTGGGCAGGCAAAGCCGTTTTAAAACTATGAGCTCTGATGTATAAAAATCTGGGCTTTTCTAGTGTGTAGATGTTGGGATTTCCTGAAGTGAGTATCCTTTCTGAAAGACTTCTTGCTTTAAAATTCCCATCCTACTGTGGAGACTTCTAAGTGCAAATCTAAAGTTTCTGAAAGAAGAGCCAGTTAAGTTTCTGTCTCAATCAAAGCCTAATCCATTTTAGATTTTGTCAGAACAGATTAGTATTATAAATTCAACTCATTTAATGTATAAAATCATATGTCTTATGGAACATAAATTCAAATTGCCACATAATATCTGTGTATAATCCAGTTCAGATTTTTATACAGTCTCTTGATGTATTATTGAGAAGTCATTATTAGCAAGCAGATGTTAATGTGATTAGGATTAATGGTGAAGGAGATACTTGGAGTTGCCAGAGCAGGTATGGATGACTTACCAGAGACCGTAATTTTCCTGACCCCCTTTTATTTTTAGGTACTTTTACCCATTTCCAGTACCACCTCTGCTTTATCAAGTTGAACTTTCTGTGGGAGGACAGCAGTTTAATGGCAAAGGAAAGACGAGACAGGCTGCGAAACACGATGCTGCTGCTAAAGCTTTGAGGATCCTGCAGAATGAGCCGCCGCCCGAGAGGCTGGAGGTAAGGAGGGCAGGGTTGAGGCTCCTTGAACACTTTGGGCAGAGCAGCAGAGGTATGAAAGACATCGCCTAAAATTACTTTTTCCAAGAAGATGCATCTACAACTCGCCCTAACTTTTATTATTTGATAGTCTACAAGATTTTGTGCCTTGTAACTTTTCTTGGACTACTCTCCCTGCCCCCAACTTTTTTCCCTCTATTTACAATTTCTCAGCAAGACAATCTCAGGCTGCCCTTTCCACTCTGGGATGGTTTTGAGTGACGTCATGTGGCGTGCGCATGTTGGAAGTTGTGATTCAGTTGCTTTGTGAAGGACGTGCACGAAGCATTCTTCAGTGCTTAGGATCGTGCTCGTCAGAGTCTGCGGTGACCAGTGGCCCCAGCTCAGAGAGTGCTGTGAAGCTGTATTACATAGAAGTGCCTGTCACTGCTGCATAGCAAACCCTCCCAGACTAGTGATGGCTTCAGCATTGCCAGGCGTTTACTTCGCTCATGAATCTGCAGCTTAGGCAGAGCTTGGCACGGGTAGCTTGTCTTTGCCACATATAGCTTTGGCTGAGGTGGCTCTAGAGTGCAGTGCAGGATCCACTTTCCTTTTTTTTTTTTTTTTTTTTTTTTTTTTTTTTTTTTTGACAGGCAGAGTGGACAGTGAGAGAGAGAAAGGTCTTCCTTTTGCCATTGGTTCACCCTCCAATGGCCGCCGCAGCCAGCGCGCTGCAGCTGGTGCACCGCGCTGATCCAAAGCCAGGAGCCAGGAGCTTCTCCTGGTCTCCCATGGGGTGCAGGGCCCAAGCACTTGGGACATCCTCCACTGCACTCCCTGGCCACAGCAGAGAGCTGGCCTGGAAGAGGGGCAACCAGGACAGAATCCGGCGCCCCGACCGGGACTAGAACCGGTGTGCCGGCGCCGCAAGGCGGAGGATTAGCCTAGTGAGCCGCGGCGCCGGCTTAGGATCCACTTTCAAGATGGCTCACTCACATGGCTGCTGAGTGCTGGCTGTCAGCGGGGAGCTGAGCTGGGGCTCTGGCCTGGTGGCCTTCGTTCCTGTGTTGGTGGATCTGCACACTTCCTCACTTACATGCTGGGTTCTGAGAGTGGGCACCCTACACAATAGCAGGGGGAAGCAGCTGTCTGTTCCCTAAGGCTTGGGCCCAGAAATCACATTATCACTTCTGCTATACTCTGTAGGTCACACAGGCCCATGGCCGTGGTTCAAAAGAAGGAGAGATAAAATCCCCACTCTTGAACTTTTTCCATTGAGGCAAAATTCTTATCAAATATGGCCTGGGAAGGCAGTGGAAGACAGCCCAAGGGCTTGGGCCCCTGCACCCAGAAGTAGCTCCTGGCTCTGGATCAGCTCAGCTCTGGTTGTTGGGGTATTTGGGGAGTGAACCAGCAGATGGAAGATCTCTGTCTCTTCCCTTCTCTCTAACTCTGCCTTTCATATAAATAAACAAACCTTTAAAAAAGATCATAATAGTAAATACTAAATTCACCATTTTATGTGTACAGTCCAGTGACTTTTAGTACCATATCCACCTTTTTCGAAAACCCCCACTTTTGGATGAGAAACATGTTAAAGAATGTGGGTTCATGTTTTAAAACTAACATAAGAAAAAACGATTTTAACTTGTTATGATTAAATAGGAACATAATTGTTAAGAAATCTGACTGCATGATACTGAGGGGTCCAAGCATTAGTAAATATTTCTGGCAGTATGAAGTCATCACAAATCTAGTTACCAAAGGTCAGAAGAAACTCACACATAGAAAAACATTATGATTTCATGTTAATCCCTATAGGACATATTACTTGAAAATATCGCTGGGTAGCCTTTGACTTTTCCTCCCCAGGAGATCAGTTTACAAAGAACAAGTAGATCATGTGCAGAACCTCATGATAAGTGAGTGAGGGGGCCATATGGAGTTGAGTGGACCCAGGCAGGGGCTTGCTGAGGTCCTTTGAGTCCAGTTGCCACTCTGGCTTCATGACTGGACATAAGGAGTGTCTTGTCCCTTTTTTTGTTATGCTGTGTCCCATTTTCCAGTGTAATCACATAGTCAATAGAGATGATCTATTTCCAAGGTCCATTGAGGACCAAATAAACATTTTTTGGTTTGTTTTTAAGATTGATTGGTTTATTTGAAAGAGAATTACAGAGAGAGGGAGAGACAGATCTTCCATCCACTGTTCACTCCACTCATGGCTGCAATGGCCAGGACTGGACTAGGCCAAAGCCAGGAGCCAGGAGCTCCATCTGGGTCTCCCACATGGGTGGCAGGAACCAAATACTTGGGCCATCTGCTGCTGCTTCCCCAGGTGCATTAGCAGGGAGTTGGGTTGGAAGTAGGGCAGCCAGGACTTGAACTGATGCTCATTTAGTATGGCTGGTGGTGTAGGCAGCAGCTTAACCTGCTGCACCACAGTGCCATCTCCCCCAAATAAAAGGGAAAAGTTTAGTGAAGTTCACAGGATGAGCTTCCGAGTGGCGAGATTTGCTAAAACACCGGAAGGTGATATAACAAGAGTTATTCTGGGGGTCGTCGTCTTCTTTTTTTTTTTTTTTTTCTTTACTTGGCTTTGATGCTAATCTAACTGGAGTCATTTGGAGGAAGTATTTCTCAGTTTTTTTCTAGCCAGTAGTTGCTAGACACTGGTATGTGAGTTGTCTGTCGGAGTTGCCGAGTTTTAAAACAAATTCCTAAGCTACAGGATTTTCATGCAGTAGGTCTCAAGTAAAACTCAGCAATCTGGCGTCTGCCTAGTTTGTTTTTGTTACTGTCTTCCTGGAGTAATTCTAAAGTAGGATCAGTGTTTGGGGACCACAGATACAAGTGTTACTAGTGCTTCCCCGTCCCCCTCTGGTCTTCTGTGGGAGTAATCACAGCACACTGCAGAGGAAAAGGGCCTTTCGGTGTCTCTGGCCTGATAGAGAGTTGCTCACTAGAGCTGCCTTGGTGGCACAGTCCTGAGGGTAGTAGCTGTAGCAGACACACTCCGGGCTTTGCTTTCATTGTGTCATCTGAAGTCCGTAGGAGTTGTGCTGGGAGTCATGGAGGAATCTACTTGTGCTGTTCAACTTCCTTCCCCTTTGGCCCTGTTTTGGCTCTTTTAGTTAGAAGTAGAGACAGAGCCTTTCAGAAATGGCTCCAAGACTGGCCTTAACCAGTGCTTCATAAACAAAGGCTCATTTCATAGAATGAGGCTTCTTTAACGTAATATATTGCATGAGTGTGCTTCCCCTTCATTTTACCAGGCATTCTGGTAGGTAGGTGGCAGAGAGGAAGGAGAGACATTTAAAACATTTTAATTAGATAAAAGGAGATCTCCAGTCTGCTGGTTCACTCCTCAAATGCCCACAACACCCAGGGCTGTGCTAGACTGAAGCTAGGAGTCAAGAACTCAATCTGGGGGCCAGCACTGTGGCTTAGCAGGTAAAGCCGGCATCTGCAGTGCCATCATCCCATATGGGCGCCGATTCGAGTCCCGGCTGCTCCACTTCCGATCCAGCTCTCTGCTATGGCCTGGGAAAGCAGTAGAAGATGGCCCAAGTGCTTGGGCCCCTGTACCTGTGTGGGAGACCCAGAAGAAGCTCCTGTCTCCTGGCTTCTGGCTGTTGCAGCCATCTGGGGAGTGAACCAGTGGATGGAAGGACCCCCTGCCCCCCGCCTCTGCCTGTCTGTAACTCTGCCTTTCACTGCATGGCAGGGGCTCAAGCACTCAGGCCATCATTGTTGCCTCCCAGGGTGTGCATTAGCAGGCAGGTAGAATTGGAAGTGAAGCTGGTACTTGGACTCAGGCACTCTGATACAGGATGCAGGTATCCTAAGCTACATCTTTTTTTTTTTTTTTTTTTTGAAAGAGAGAGGAGAGGCAGAGAGAGAGAGAGGTTTTCCATCCAATGGTTCACTCCCCAGATGGCCGCAGAGCTGTGCTGATCCGAAGCCAGGAGCTTCTTCCTGGTCTCCACATGGATGCAGGGGCCCAAGGAGTTGGGCCATCTTCTACTGCTTTCCCGGGCCACAGCAGAGAGCTGGACAGGAAGTGGAGTAGCCAGGTCTCGAACCGGCGCCCATATGGAATGCCGGCGCTTCAGGCCAGGGCGTTAACCCACTGCACCACAGCACCGGCCCCCCTAAGCTACATCTTAACCACTATGCCAGATGCCCCCATCCATGAAATTTTTTTGAAGTAACTTTTTATTTTATAAAACTGGGATGATACTCGGTTAGCTTTTCTTCTGGTATTATGAATATGGTAAATCATGATTCCTCAGAGGACTCAAGTTCAATATGCCTTTTTAAATAGCTGCAAAGTTCCTGCAGTGAACCAGCTTACTTTTTCAACAGGGGCTTATTTAGGCTGTTTGCTGTTTTCCCTGCTATAAAATGGGTAAGGAAAAAATTTTGTATTAGAATCTGTGTATATGTCTGTGATTATTTCTGTGAGCCGCAGTCCTCCAAGTGGAATTATTCAGGCAAGGCCTGTGCATGGGATTATCTGTGGTGTCCATGGTGACATGTATGTCCATGTTCCTCCTTAGAAGGTGAGACCATTTTAGACTCCTGCCTGAAGGGCATAGAACAACCTGCCAGCATTAGAAGTTATTTTGTTTTAAACAAATGGTCGGTTTTTCCATTGAATATTTGTAGAGCATGTGGTTGTGTGGTGGATTGATCACCTCCTCTAGACAATAGCCAATAAAGCCAGCATTTATCCATAGGGCAGTGGAGCTCTGAGGAGAGAATAGCCAGAATTGTCCTCACCTCTATGGCGCTTAATGGAATGATATTCGCATTACTGTCATCAAAAAGGTCAGTGAGTACTAGGATGACCAAGGAGCCAGGATTAGGAGAACATGACATGTCCAGCTTAGTTTGTAGTCATGGTGAGGTGTTCCGAGAAGTCTCTCCAGGAAAGAGCCAATTCAGCTGAGACCAGAACTAGCAGAAGAGCAGGGGCGGCACGTTCCCAGGAGGAGTGTTAGATGCAAATCTGG